GACTTGGGAGAAAGCAATGGCCAAGATTGTGCCACATCACCATTTTCGCACAGCACACTTCCGACTTCTAAAATCCGTAATTTCACATATGACCTCCGTTTTTGACATTCTTTATATCCACGTGTTAGTAAAATAGAATCTACAACTGTCATTTGACTCCATCGGCTAATTCTCGACCGATCTTAAATTTAACAGTACGAGGAGATTATATTGTTAAATGTCCGCGTAAAATTCTAACTTCTACATACAGACTCTGTTTCGTCTGTCTTTTTTACCGTTGAGTTCCTATTAATGAGATATTCAATTCCTATTAATGAGATCTTTGAGTTTCGGGCTGTGCACTGTTAAGCCAAATCTTAGAAAATTCATAATTCCTCTACAAAGTCGATTGGGCGTTCGTTTTTTGTATGTTCTCGGTTTAACTTATACTACAACTTTTGTTTAGATTTCCAAGGCTAAAAAGTCCCCCCTCCATCTAAATTCACTATTTACGTCTCCCCGTGTGTCGTGTAGGTTTTGCCGTAAAACTCGACGGACCATAAACTTCTTCGTTATAACTCGGATTTCACCTCTTTATATGTACGGAACCCTTGAGACGTATTCTACAATTGGTTAAGATTATTTATTTAAATATATTTTGTCAAAAAGTCGTTTTTGACCCCTATTATCTCTAAATTGACTAGCCTGGATCTACGGGCGTTACAATTATCTCCCCTTAGTATGATTACGTCCCAGAATCATCAACGAAACAGGGCTCATGATGACTCCATACGTTATCTCTTCACCTAAGTAATAACCGTAACTTTGATGTTTCTTCGAACGAATATCTAACTCTAAGACTTCGTGATTGCAGGCGGTGGCTCGCTCTTGTACTTGCTCCCTATCTCACATTAGACTCTAATTATGAACCTTCAAGTCACAATCTCGATCCTTACTAGCGACTGCTTCTTATTCTAACAAACTTAAGATAAGTTATTTTATTACTAAAATGGACCGATGTGTCATATTCTAATGACTTATCATTGTAGGTTTCCCACGCTTAGACTCAGGTCTCTTAGAGTCTTCCAGAACAGACTATACATTTCTCAGTTCTAATCACATCTTAAAAGGTAGCATTTTAGCTACAAGAAACTATCGCGATACCTCTACCGATTGCTTTGATTATCTTTTATTTCAATCTTCCGACTAAGTCAGATGCTACATCAAACTTGTTCTCTGAACCACGTAACATACTATCGTAGTCAGACTCAATTCGATATGACCACTAGGGTCGGAATAACATCATCCTCTTAGTCATTACCGAACCGATGGTAACGACATATTTGAATAAAACGGTATCAATTACTAGCTTCTTGGTAACCTTGTGACTTTCCCTGATCCAAGCGTGAGTCCTGTGCTTCCGGTTAGTATAGGCCTCTACTACCTTCACACCTACCATACTCGTCCCAAGTATGTCTTGCAGTTCACCCAAGTCACCATACAAGAAATCACATAACAACTTGACACATTAGATAACAAAACGAAGGTTTTATATTATTCCTTGAAACGATTACATAGGTGTTCAAGTTCAACCTATACTATGCCTCTAACAGCTACACCACGTGGTACTATTTACACGACTTACTTCATAGATCCTCATTCTGTGATCCCTTTCATTTCCATCTTCTTCGTCAAGGATCATATGGAACGCTCTTACCTTCGGTTTCGGTGAAATGTTTGTTGCGCCTCTTTCTTCTTCGGGAAATCCTTAGCAACGTGCCCTTCTTCACGGCATTCATAAACACACCCTTTTGCTGGCGGTGCACTCGTTGGCGTAATGTCCGGTCTTCCCACACTTGTAGCAAGTCACTTCCTCGCTACATTTCCCGAAGTGCTTCTTCTTGCACTTCTCGCACCATTTCACTTTGTTTCCTCCTCCGCAACTCCTTTGAACCAAACTTGATCTTCTTATTGGGCCTCGTAGACCTCTCAAACTTCCTCTTTTCGCCAACCTCAATCTTGTTGGCAGCTCTTCCCTTAATCATATCCTCCACACAGACTGGCAGCCCAGATAGCTGCCTCCAGAGTAGGTGCCTGACGCACTGGCACCAGCGTACTCCCATGGAAGTCCCTTTGCGTACTTGTCGATTTTCGTCAGCTCATCCGGAACAAGATACAAAGGCGAACTCCACCTTCTCTGTGAAGTTGTTGGTGTCTTCATCAATTGACATGCTTCCTTCTTCAAGGTCAGGAATGGTTCTCTAGCTCGAGCAGGTTTTGGGATGAGCAGTACTTGCGTTTGAACTGCACCAAAAACTCTGTCCATGTCAGTTGCAGGGGCTCATTGGGGCTCAGAGTCTTCCCCAGGGTATTCCACCAGCGCACATCACCTCCTCGGAATTGACGTTACTGCAAGGTGGTCTTGTAACTTGCCTCTGCAACCACACGTCATGAAAGAACTCCATCTCTGAGATCCAATCCATGACTCCGATCAGATCTTCCTTTCCAGTGAAAGTCGATGGCTTGCAAGTCAGAAATCCTTGTACTTGCATCCATTCCTTCGACTACGTCATACTGGTTGTTTTGTCGAACTATGGTGGGTTGGCTTGACCAACGGTCCCATTGTAGTTCCCTCCTTCTGACTACCCATCGTTCAATTCGGGCTATTCAACTGGCATTGTAGGTTGTCCCTATTCATCTCTTCCCGTTGTTCAGCCAACATAGCCCGTATCATGGCTTGTACTCCGGCCATTGTAATTGGCTTAGGAGCATCTGCTACAACAGTATTTTTTCAATCACTGGTGGTTGATTCCTGTTCCCATTTGCATTCCCGGCTCCACTAGGGTTCTTGCCATTTCGATCTATTATACCAAATCAGACGTTCGGTGTTGCAATGATGAGAATTAAGATTGGAAAAGCTTTTATTTACGATCGACGGTGTAATTCTCCCTATTCCGAAAGTATATGCCGGTTTAATACCGTATTAAACGTTTAGAAATCTGAACACATATAAAGTTTCCAGATCCGGTCGGCAAACAGATCATAGATCGATCATACATGCATATCATAAATCATTTAGCACATAAAAGCATGTTAGGCCTTTTCCCTAAATTAGCTAGTGCTTGTGTCCTTCAGGTGTTTACCTAAATTTATTAGACACACTCCTCACAATCCTTGATTAGCATTCTAAGTTTAAGTCTAGAAATAAATCCATATTCCTAGTTCGCTTAAACTAATGCTCTGATACCAACTGTACATCCCCATTTCACGGCCAGAAAAGACCGATTTTGTTTATGCTTATAAAAATCGAGTACCTCTTTTAATAAAAATGTTTCGGAATTTGTCCCCAGTAAAACATGATAAATACGTTATCAAAGCATTCCGAAGAAAAGTATTTTTATTCATTTTAAAACATTTGGGATGTCATCGTCAATACAAAAACATAAGCATAAACAGAACTTGCATTCATTATCACTAGTGATTTATTCTCCTTAATCTCTCTGTGTAATGTGACTTCATATCAACACCTGTGATATAAATAAACTGAGTGGGTCAGGTTAGGAACCTGGTGAGTACATAGGGTTTTCAAACCACAATAAATAAGTTATTAACTTTATTAAACCAAACAAACCCGATTACCCGTTCCCGTTATCCTCACTTTACGTCCCTAAACACATATACCACAAGGGAACTAGTCTAAGGGACTTTCATCGGGGGTGAACACACATGCTTCGGGGGTTCCTCAACAATTCATGTCAAATAGGGCAACCATGTGGGGGATGGAGTACTGCTGGTGAGCACACAGTTCAAATAAACACCTACAGGTTGCGAGCCTGCTAGCGTTCAATGGATGTCTAGAATAGTCCGTGGTCGTCATCTCTTACTCCGCTAGATGACTGGATCATCAATAACATCTATATCGAGGCCTCTTATTATTTTATTTGGTCACACAGCAACTATTACATCTACCCATGTTTTACCACACACGTTTTGTAGATATAAAAATACATACTACAATTTAAATCATTTAAAATGTGTATAAAAATATTTCACCCAGCATAGACAGCAAGTATTCAGACAATATGCACACCATAGCACGTAATTTATATTAAATACTTCATATCTATGTGTAAGATGAAACGGACCATGCACTCACTTGAAAAGGTGGTGATTCCGAACTCAGACAACGCTTCGCTTCTTAAAAATAATTTCCTTCGACGGAACCTAGTATTATTACCACTAGAGTTTAGTATATTATTCGCGAGGCTAA